GTTTGTTTGTATTTTACATCCTCACATCATATTCTCATGTGTAGTGGTTTTTAAAACTTGACAAAGCGTGATCTCAACTGACTGTGAAGAACACTTGCGGAAAGGTTTTTTTTGACAGAATTTTGAATAACTTTTTAGGGGAGAGGGGTTCTTTTTGTTTTGATTATTCTATACTCATCAGCATCATCATTTTGAGCCATTCTAAAATAAAACTTTGCGGCATTAAGTCTCTAAAACCTTCAACCCTGCATCTCCATGGTACATTCACATGCAGGTTTCTTCTAGTCCATATCTTGTTGTCCACACACATCTGCATTATCTTATCTTGTTCTCATTCAGTAATATTTTCTTCATTCTTAGTTGTTAGAACACTATTTTTCTTCTCCTGTCATGGTAGCTTTCCTATTTGTCCATAAAAGTACATTTAAAAGACTTGAATTTTACACTCACATGTAATTGCTCTCTGTGACACTTTATGGCATAAGCAGTAGGATCAAAGAAGAAGAAGATTATTTAGTTAGTGGTATGGTACTATACAATCATGTAACAGTTTATCAGTCTTCAGTTTTGTTAGTAAGTTTGCCAAGTTAACATCAAGAGGATTAACTTCCCTGCACCAAGTTTTATCAATATGGCTCAGTTTCTCTCCACAGAACAGCTAGCAACCTGCCAAGAATGTCATACAGAGCACAAACACTGTAGCTCCAGCAATATCCTCAGGGATCTCTGTAAAAATTTGAACTCATAAGCAAATGATGCAGTCCATGAAACAAACTCGCTTTACTGCTTTGTTACGTTAATTGGTATTTCATTTACTCTGGTTGTTGTAGTGAACAGTGGTTTCAATTAACAGTGAACTATGATACATTTCATATAAATTTTAAACACAAACAGCAAGTTACCTCCTAATTTTTTTTATTTTTGAAATCCATAAAGCTTTTCTCTTTTAAATGCCTGTATTATAAGTTTTCATCAAGCCGTCACATTGTTCGATCATCAGTTGTAAAATGCACTCAATTCCAGTGCTGCTTAAATAGTTGTGAATGGATGCAGGACCTAATTAGAGTATGGCTACTTATAAACCTCTATATCAGACCCAAGTTATCTCCCCTTCCATACTTTGGAGGATCATTATGCTTATAATCTGCCTTCAGTAAAAAAATGTAATGTTTCTTGGTAAAGATATATTTAATCTTAGAAGACATAATTTCTTATTTATAAAACAGTTCAAGAAAGGAAAATTTCTAACATACTGTAGTTTTTTTTTTTTTTTTTTTAAATTGGAAATAAACCAGTGTTACAGAAAGGGCAGAAGAAAAATCTATCTTCTTCTTCAAGTCCATTTTGGTCATTATGTCTGTCTACAGCCCTCCATTATGTGTACTGAAAAAGATTTTCTATACAAATGCCCATCAGTAATGTCAAACTGTTGAAATTCTTCTTTCTTGATCTCTCATTGTGCCTCTTCTTCCCATCCAGTTTTCCTGGTGTGATATATTTTCCAGTTTTATTATTCTCAAGGTGTGCCCAAGAAAAAAGGAATGTCCTCTTCTGATGAGGATAGCCAGTTCTCTTTGTGAATAAATAATTACAAGGAAATCATAATCTTAACTTTGCCCCCCCCCCCCCCCCCCCTCCCCAAACCACCATAAACAGAAGAAAACTACATGTAGACAGAAGATATTATTATCAGAATAGATTAGCTACACAGTTGACATGAAGCTCGGTGGTGTTGATGTAAATGCCTGTGTGCTTCTCCATAGCTTCTGACTACATTTGTAACTTTATCCCTAATCAAACAGAATAGAACATGATGGAACAGGATTTGCACCAGGATGGTTTCTGGAAAGTGTAAGTAGGTCAGATTAGCTCATTATCTTTACTGCTTATATTTGTTGCTTTTTAAGCAGTTTGGGGAAGGGGGGTGGGTGTCATGAGCCAGAGGATTTAGGGCAGCATGGCTAATGTGGGTACCACACATTACAGGTCAGGATTTTTATTTTTTTCATTAGTTTATCAAGCATTGGAATATAGGCAGCCTGCATGAAAGCCCTGCTATGTAACCACTAGGCCATCCACTTATTGTTAGAGAGTAATTTGTTATTGTAGTTAAATATTTTGGCGGAATTTTTCCTTGCCTGGAGATCCCCTATAATCCTTCCTAATAATTTACAGGGCTCGAATTAAGAAAGTCTAGGGGAATTCTATGGGTCCCTGAGTTCATAAAGAAAGGAAGGAAAATACAGAAAATCAAACCAATAGGGTGAATCCCCGGAAAATAATGGAATACATAATTATTTTTCTAACTAAATTCAGAAAAACCAAAGTTCAACACTTTGTAAATTGAACTCAACTAAATCACAATGTACAATATTTCGTCTTCACAAGGAAATAAATTTGATACTAACAATGTAACTTTGATGGTTGAGTTTTCAAAAAAAATAACAATTGTATTGAAATAATGCTGACTTAGAATCCTAACAAATTATTCAACTCAAAAGGAAATTAACTCATCATTCCACATGAACAAAACCATTTCAGTGTATCAACGTCACTCATCTCCACGATCGTTCAAGCTGAATACGGCGTTCTATGGTATGGACCATACACTGGCGGCAACAATTGTAGTGACTGGATATCTGCATAAGTCTTCAGTTCATTTCGGAATCTCCTTCTATAATGTTGTTAACCATCCATAGGGTTACCGGGAACCTGAATTCGTATGATTTTATTATTATTATTATTTCTTGGTGGTAGGCTGATGGAATGGCTGGGGCTGTCGTTTGGTGTTGTGACAAATGACTAGCTCTAAGGGTTTCTCCTAGTAACACTACGAAAACGTCATAAGTTATGTGCGCCTTTGTACATTTTCTACTCTTCTCGCATCTATGTTCAACTATGTTTATTTTAAGTGCGCAATTCTTTTAACCAAAAGATGCAATTAACTCTTGCCGGACTGAAATATTCCGTTGGTTTGTCACAATTACAGTATTATATACAACAAGTCTGTGTGACTTATATACTTTTATGTAACAGAACTGTGCATTTGGAAAGCATATCTTTGAACATGAGTTAATGTCATGCAGATTGATTACTTTATGGCTGAATTTGTTTAGAACTCAAGATTTTACTCACCCACAAGATTTATGTTTTAGAAACCGCTGATGCAGATATTCTGAAGCTAGCCTGACTACTTTTTCACAATATTTCCACTATATCACCCAGTTCTATGGACAGTTTGACCTTATGTAAGCTATGGAATCATAGCGATTTCCATAATTCAATTAGCAACATTCCCACAAGATTCTCATTTCATAACCCAATGCTGTGTTGAGCATATAAGTACAATTTTCAGCCTCGTAGCTCACAAAACTTGGTTCAATTCATTTTGTTTGAAAAAATATATTCTAACAGATTTTTTTAAAAACCTGAAGTAATTTAAATGTTACAAAGTTATTTTTAGAATAAAATAACAATATCAGATCTTCATTTAGAAGAAAACTGGCTTATAAACTGTACCATGTTTTGGAAGTTGAAGTATTCTAATAAAATCAAACATCAGAACAGAAATAGAAAGACTGGTTACTGGAAAAGAAGACACAAACCAACCGCCATGACAGTGGGCACATGACATTAAATACACCTTCAGCATGAAAGGTGCATCAGGCACTGAAACTGGCAAAGGATTGCAGATACATCCAGTGGGCCTTGATAAGAGCACTGTCCTTGAAAGATAAGACCATTGTCCAGGAAAGATAAGAGCATTGTCTAGAAAAGGACCTGATACTGATTAGCCTAGGGTGGTAACTGATTAGCCTAGGGTGGTACTGATTAGCCTAGGGTGGTAACTGATTAGCCTAGGGTGGTACTGATTAGCCTAGGGTGGTACTGATAAGCCTAGGCTGATACTGATTAGCCTAGGGTGATACTGATTAGCCTAGGGTGATACTGATTAGCCTAGGGTGATACTGATTAGCCTAGGGTGATACTGATTAGCCAAGGCTGATACTGATTAGCCTAGGGTGATACTGATTAGCCTAGGGTGATACTGATTAGCCTAGGGTGATACTGATTAGCCAAGGCTGATACTGATTAGCCTAGGGTGATACTGATTAGCCTAGGGCGGTCAACTGGATATTTCATTTTTTTTGGTTTTTTTGTTACACATGTTAAAACTGCCTCAGTAGCTGGAAATCCAAAAGATAGTAACAAATACTGATATTTTAGAGTCCGTGCATTGTGGTGAGATTCTTTTTTCCTGTTATCAAGACATACTCCAGTTTTTCCCCTCTCGAAAAATACTACTCAGAGAATGTAGATTGTCTGGATCTGATGTAGGTAGCACATTCTCATTGTAAGTTAATTTCTGTAAAGAATTTTTCTTCCCGATTGCCATTACTTTCTTTTAAACTCTCTCAGGACCAGATTTTTTATGTAGTTTGGATGGCATTAATTTTAAGCGAAATTTTTTACTGCAAGACAACAAAGCTAAAACCTTTCTAAAGAAAAAGTATTGGCTGTATCAGGACATATAATGTATCAAATTAAAGATAAATGAGTGTAGAATAAATCTAAACTATTTAAATATCACTATAACAACAAAAGATTATTAAAATCACACAACATTCAAGGATGTTTGACACATACAAAAATTATTGACATAAAAAATTGTGTACTCACCTTATTTTTTTACTCTTTCAACAACCCTGCTATCCAATTCTAAGAATGCACACGCCTTCTCTGTTCAATTATGTATTAGCCAGTCTTTATTTGAAACAATTAATTTAGATACTTTGGATGTTATGATTATTTTTTTATGACATGTCATTTTCACAACAACCAAAAATCTGAAAAACAGCTGATCAAAACATTGACCTGATTGAAATATTTTGTGAAATTTTTATATCCTAAACTAAATTATCGCTAGTAGATTTGTCACTTAGATATCAATCATAATGTCAAGACTGTTGTCACCATCTGGCAGAGATTCATCAACAATA